TTCCAACCTGTACCTCCAAGCCACCCTGTACTCCACCAACCTTATCCCTCCGGAGCCATTGCTCCCCGCCTACTTTTCCGCCAGCTTTTCATTAATAAACAATACATATCACGTGATAGTATCCCGCCAATCAATTGAGCAAAGCTCATAATCCGCCAGCTTTTAATCATAACACATAGTCATTGACATAGAGGATTGAGGCTCATCAATAGCCAAATCAAGGAATCAACAATAGAGTATAACATATGTACAAGATCACAACAAGAGATTCAATTGAAAGACTTCAAGGAGAGACATGAAAGGAACATTCAAGACAATGACACAATAACGATAGACTTTAATCAAAAGATTACCATGATTGGTGAATACAAGTTACCAATCTTCATTGAGAACGAATGAACAAACACATACTAGTATCAACAACATCATAACTAGCATGCACATCAATTAAGATAGACATAACGGTTCAAACGAATAGGGGTGGGCACGGGTCGGGTTCGGGTTCGACCCGACTAAAAATTCGGGTACCCGAAATGTTCGGGTCCCCTATTCTACCATCCGAAGTCCGAACCGAAATAATAGCATTATGGTTCGGGTTCGGGTGCTTCGGGTCGGACTATAATCGGGTTTGAACTATACCACCCGAAATCATAATTAAAAATAGTACTTCGTAGTAAGTGTTGTACATTACCAAGAATCTACTTTAAGAATTAAGTCTTTTAGCTTCCCAAGAATTTGAATTTTATCAAGTTTCACGCAATTCCAGATGAGTTTTTACACTATCAATTACACGTATTATCATTCATTACTACTAAGTGTAACTAAGTGTAATTACTAGTTGCTATTGCTGCTTCACCCTTTAACATTCCAAAGAATAGAAACCACTTGCTCTCCAGTCTCCCCAAAGTAGTGACTTGTTTGCCTTCTTGAATACCCTTGTCTTGTTGCCTGTGTAATAAATTAACCATCATTAATAATAGAGAATAATGCCCAAAATTAAATATATAAATAAGTGAAATATAAATTAAAACATAATCACTTTAGTTAATGACTCCAAAATTAAATATATAAATAAACAAACAAGTGAATCCAGATTCAGTAAAAATAAATTGCAAGATTTATTCGATAAGACTGAAAAGTTTAGAGATATGAGAGACAAATTTTGGAAGGAGAAGATAATACTCTGTATTGAAACATAGAAACCATTATGATGTTATTGTGAATTAATGATTACAAATAGCATGACAAAAAAATCGAAACAAGAGTATAGAGCAGAGGAACATACATGATAGTGATGGTCACCAATTCGGCGATTTAAGATAGCAATGGACGATGGAGACCAAAATCACCATATGAACCATGGTGGTAGCCGGTGACTTGCTAAACTACTGAAGAATTTAAAGCTCAAGGGAGAGAAGAAATAGATCTAAACATGTGTTTTCCTCCATGGTTGTCGGCGAGAAGCTAAGTAGAGAGAGGGGAAATGGGTTTGAGAAAATGGGTTACATGTTTGCAGAGAAAAGTAAGAAACCCCTACCTAGTACCTACAAGCTACACTGCCACTCGCCCACTCTGCTAAGCTAATGCCTACAAGCATTTTATACGTAGACCAACACTTCGGGTCTCGGGTCGGTTTCGAAATAAAAAATCTGTACCCGAGACTCGAACCGAAATATATACAATTTTTTCGGTTTTAAATCGGGTCGGACCCGATTTCAAATTCACCTGACCTGAATTGAATTTTTCGGGTCAAACCCGACCCAAATTCGGGTAGAACCCGAATTATGCCCACCCCTACAAACGAACATCAATAACTTCACATTAATCCAACGAATCACAAAGTTGGACCTTAACAATGATTCAAGACTCATAATCCTATCGTGGATACTTAGGACATCGTTCTAGACATCCAAAACATCAAAGGAGACACACAATTGCACAACGGTTCAACAAAACGGAGGCCAAAACATCACATACCAGTGGGCGGAACGGTGGGGGGTCAACCACCCGCCACTCCCCCTACATGTACTTAGCGGGTGGAACCACGGGTCGGCAACCACCCGTGGCTCTCCCCGCTACCCTTCACCATGTTCCCCGCGAGTGGAATGACGGTAGGCTCACCTTGGGCTCGCCGTTCTGTCCGCGGGTCCAAAACTTGGGAGGAAAAATCCCTTCAGGGAAAAATGCAACCAATGCCAAGTTCAAGTCCAAAACACCCACAATCACACATACAACAATAAGGGGACTTGAACACATGAAAAGCTCAAAGAATAGCATTTATGAACCCTAGATACAAGCTCTAACATGCATAAACACAAGAATATGCATCATTTCACTCATGAACATCAAGATCATCAAGAAATCAATAATATCACGTGTAAAATAAGTTTTATAGAGCATGAGTTACCTCCTTAAGCCTAGAAACACTTCCTTCAACCTCTAATCCTCTTCTTGGAACTCTTCTTCCCCAAAGTCTTCAAATACAAACCAAAAACCACACAAACAACCAAAACCTAGATAAAGATAAGGAGAAACCAACTAAAAACACTAGCTAAGCTTAAACCTTACCTTCCTAAGGTCTAGGTGGATGAAAGTTGGAGTCTTGATGGATTCTTTGCAAGGTTGGGGAAGGGTTTTGGTTTAGCTTGGGAAAGAAGCTAAGGTTTTAGAGAGAAGGTGGAGGAAATGAAGTTCTTGCCTAGTGTGGGAAAGAAAATAGTGGTGTGTTAGGGAAAAATATCTTGGATATCAAGTAAGGGTTGTGAAATGACTAGAATAGCCTCCCTTGTCTACAAAATTGTTAGGGAAAAATTATTGGCTAGGTACAAGGCATAAGGCACAATGTACAATTCATTGACTAAATCAATTTGTAATTTTGCATATTCTCTTAATCTGGGATTATCGATTTACTTTCTTGCAAACTGAATAGGTGACTGACTAACTCAGATTCTCAAACAAACAGTCATTCAGATAGATAGGCAGATATTGCATATTGCGGAGGACTAAGACAGAAAGTATCTACATCTGGGGGACGATCACCGATGCGTCCAATCCACTAACTCAGAACCCAATGTACAAAGGTAGAGAAGAACAATCTCACCCAAGTGCCCCACACAAGGTCAGTACCCAGTCTACAAAGGTTTAGTGGACTGTTTAAGTCGAAGAGCCACACATTCAGAAGTCCAATGAAATCCCTTCAATTGGAGAGCTAACTCTGATGCAGTCCGCTTCAATGACACAGTCCCACGTTGTTCCCACAACTGAGTGATCTTCGCGTCCAATCGTTTAAGCAAAGTTGATACTTCTCAAGTTCTTCTTCGTAATCACCATGAACTTATTGTCTTGAGAAGAGGCATGACAACTAGAGATGTGTATTCTATTTAGTATAAAGTGTTGCGGCTTCAATCAATGCAACCCTAACTTCTGAACAAATAAGTATACATATACTTCTTGATTCGAACACTCTCCAAATATATCTCTGGTTGTAAAAAGGTAGGATTTTTTGTGAAGAAATAAATCTTGAGATTCGGTCCATACCTCAGAAGATGATTCGTTGATATTCTTTCCAAAACCATCATCTCATAACCGCGTGCCAGCTTTTAGAAACTTTCCTTTATCAGTCATTCGGTGGCTTAATCTAGATGTGCGTCTGTTGATTTAACTGATCAATCAATCTTCTTCTAAGATGGTCAGACACCAAGCTAAACCCTATCTTAATTTGCCATAATAATATTGCCAATTATATGTTGGGGTTTTTCTTAAAGAAATAAAACACTAATAAACTCCCCCTTTGGCTATTATTTGGCAAAATAACTCAACTAAAGATAGAGAAGCAAAAAACGTAATTAAAAGGGCCATGACTGACAACAGTTTAGCAAAAAGAAATATTGTTTGATTACAACCCATAAAAAAAAACATCAGCACACAACCCGTGTTGGATAAAGATATAGAACAGACCATTTCTTCACAAAAATGCCCAGACAGGGCCAGATAGGACTTCAACCATCACAAATACTCCCCCTGAGTATAGTACTCCCCCCTTTTGCAAATGATAGGCAAAGGACTCGTTAAGCATTAGAGGGACCTCCACTGTCAGACTTTAAAGCTTCACGAGCAGCAGACTCAGAAAGGCTCATTCGGAGTAAGACAGTTGCCAGCTCTGTGCGAGCAACGTTGAGCTGATTTGAGATAATGTTACTCACGGTCTGCAGCTCAGACACACGGGCCTTCAACTGTAAGGGCAACTTCAAATCACGACCATATGAGGTGTCGTCATCAATATCAGCCTCAGTGGTTCCTAGAGCATCAACATGTGTAACATCCTTGATGTGTTTGCCAGTCAGTAGGCGTGGATCCACAGTATATAGCAGAGAAGGAGTAATGACCTCACTAGGCATCGAAATCAACCCCTGGGATGTTAGCACACCATATATAAGATTGGGATAAGGAAGCTTAACCTTTTGCTCTCTGGGATTAATCAAGGTCTTACTGACTGTATGATATCTTACTTATGTATGATATTTCACATGTATTGGTGGGTTACCAGCATTATTCGCTGACCGGGTGTCGTCCCATGTTTTATAAGCTTCTTTCAGGTGATGCTTAGACGAGTGCGCGGTTTAGTGCCAGCTAGAGTAGCTCCTCCCTTATGTTTTGTGGCCTGTGAGCCAATTTAGACTTAGTACTTTGTTATGTTGGTTTTTAGATGTTGAACAATGCAGATGTGAGCCTGTGCGTTCACCCTTGAGTGAGCGTGGCATAACACCCCGTTTCTTCCAGTTTATATATTTCCTCTTTCAGTCTTCCGCTGTGTTTGATGTTTTGGTTTAGATATCTGCATGTTTAAGGCTTTAAATATCATGGAAATTAGGGGGGTGTTACAGTTGGTATCAGAGCCTAGGTTTAGAGTCTAGGAGAGTAAAGTCTAGACTTCTAAGTGGCTAAGTGTGGTTTGAGACCTTAAAGTGACCTTAAGAATCTAAGTGGTGGTTAGTAGTTTGATGGCTACCGATGTCGAATCAACAGGAAGTCTTCAAAGAGATGGTTCTAAGGGAGGTAAGGCTCCCCAGTCAATCTGGAAGATCAAGGTTAGGGTAAGGTGCTCCGTTTGCAAGAAGTGTGGAAGTGATCACCCCGGCGTGGACTGTCATGGGAAGCCGGTAGAGTGCTTTGCTTGTGGAAAGAAGGGTCACCGATCCTTTGAGTGTAGGGCTAAGAAGAGGACTTCAGTGGACACAAAACCAGTTGGTAGTGTGGGACCCTGGTCAGGAAGAAAGTCTCGAAGTGGATGCAATAATGGACTAAGTGGAGATAGCATCCAAGACCTGTGTACGAAGTTGGGACCTCGACAAGGCAAGATTCGCAGTCGTGAGGCAGATGCAAGTGGGAACCGTTGAAGTGAGCTCTTGTACCCTTTTGCTACACCTCCCATTGTCTTTGTACCCTTCCTTGCGTGTTAGCTTCAGGTGTTATCTTGTTCGAGAGTCACCCTTGACCCTCTGTAATCTTTTCTTGTCCCTAGACAAATCCAATCGCCCTTTTTGCCAAGTGATCCTTTTCTTCCGAACCTTGTTCTTGCTTTCTTTCCAAATCATCTTGTGCAAGTTAGCGGTGTCATCAGCTTATGAAGGAATCTGGCAAGGTCTAAGAGGTAATCTGTGTCTGAGTCGTGGTAGAGAGCCTTCAGTTTGACAAGCGGAGTGATCAGCGTCAAGTCGAAGCTTCGCCAGAAGTTGTGAACCCTTTATGTCTCTTGAAGCCGATCTTCCCCTCTTGCCCTCGTCAAATCCCTTGCCCCTTTTCGAGAAATCATTCCTATCTTTTCAAACCTCATTCTTGTTTCCTTCTTGACTCAACTCTGTTCAATGTTGCAACCTCATCTTTTCTAAGTTGTGACTTTGAAAATCTTGATTCCCTTCCTAATAAACTTTTTCCTTGAGTTTAAACCGGATACCCTCCGTGGGGAAATCCTTTTCAACTCCGTTGAACCCCGTTTGATTACTTACTCCCTAAGTTGTAACCTCGTTTACAATTCTCTTCTTCTTAATCAACATGGTTATCGCATTGTTGAACCTAAACTCTCACCTTGATCTTTCCCTTTGAACCGAACCTCGTTCTTGTATTCCCCGCTTCTAACGATTCTGTGCAAGCTGGCAACCTTATTTCCTAAGTTGTAACTTTGATGAATTTGATCCTACTCCTAAGTAACGTGGTCCTTGAGTTTCTGAACCCAAACCTTTCGCTCTAATCCTTTCCGTGGTACCGAATCCCTTCTTGTGAGCCTTTTTCCCCTGAGTTACCTTTCTCCTTTGTTACCATTCCTGTTTTGAACCTTTCATCAAGACCGATGTTTTGAAGTTTCAAGCGTTGCTCTGTGGAGGGTGGGAAGTGGTGTGCTAATGCAAGTGTTAAGTCGGTAGCCTTCAGCGAGTTCACCCTAGAGCCGGAGAGATGGACATCCAACTCGTGTTTTGGATCTAGCAGTTGAAGCCTTTGTCGAAAGTGAGGGATCAAGTTCACGCAGATGTCGAGCTCAAGTTAGGTAGTGGGGGTACCTTGTTTCCTTTGGTTGAAGAAGTCAGCAGAGATCGTTCGAAGTTGCAACCCTGGTTCTGTGATCCCGAGTGATCTAGTTTAGGGTTCTTGTGGTGTCAGTTTCTGCTTGTGGCTTGTTCCTTAGCTGGGCTGTCTCGTTTTGAGTAGATCGTTGGCTAGTTTTGAGCAGGAGTTAGGCTCGTTGTGAAGTTAGCTTTCCTTTCCGGTAAATCTTCTATCTATCACCTTATCTTTCTTTCTTGTCTTACCTTTGTGAACCCTCAACCTATCTCTAAGTCTTGTCTCTCGTTTTGTTAACCGACGGTTTTGGTGTTGAACTTCGTTGTGACCAAGCCTATCAATCTTACTACCTTACTTTAAACCCTTGTTTTCTCTAACTTTGGTTGGTGGTGAACATCTTTGTTGCTTAAAACCTCGTTTGCAACCCATCTCTTAAGCTTTGCCATCCGTTTCGCGAGCCTACCGTTTTCGTTGTGGAACCTTGTTGCGTCCCTTGTTTGTTTTGTTAGTAGGTTCGTTGGTAGTTGTTTGCTCTGTTGTGCGTTTGGTCATTCTCTCTTGTTTGCCGTGGTCGTTAGCTTGTAGTTTGAGTAGTTGGTTTAGTTGCTTCGCTTTTATGAAGACGCAGTTTGTTGCCGTGCACCAAAGGCTAGATCAGATTGAGGCCAGTTCAAGTCGTAGAGGAGGGGATTATGAAGAATCCGAGGAGAGCACCGATAAGTCGGAGAGCCAGTCGTTCTAGCTCGGTGTTGTGGTTATCTCGTTCGCGTTTCCTTAGTTGTGGTTATCCTCTTAGCTTTGTTACCGTTACAAGTTGCTTGTTGCTTGCCTTGTGTGCTGTTCTTGCTTGTTTGTTTAGTGAGTAGTTAGCTTTGTTAGTTGGTGTTTTGAGTTGGTTGTCTAGTTCCTAGTTGTTGGCTAGAAGTTGGTGTTTGTGTTGTGTCTCAATTTATCCGTTTGTTTAATTCTTGCCAATCCTTGTTTGAATTCTATCTTGCCTTAAAATCTTGTGGAATCTTTTGGGTTTTGACCAAAAGAAATTGTTCTTGACACTCTTGTCACATTGTTGTTCCTTTTTCGCGCTTGTTCTAATTCGTCGTACCCAAGCTTCGGGGACGAAGCTTCTTTGAAGGGGGAGAAGATGTGACACCCCGTAATCCAAATTCAATTAAGGGATTAATTAAGTAATTAATCCTAAACCAATTGGTAATTCAATTCCTTGAATTCCTGAAAATTCAATAGTCGGGGACTAGTAATTAACTAGTCAACCCCAAAGTCAAAGTTGTACCTTAAGCTTTGTAAGGAGTTCCCTTGTCCCCTTACACCTCTTCATGTTAGTAAGGGTATTCTTGACCTTTCACCTTGTGTTAGTATTGTATGCTAACCTAGTAGAACACCCTCATTTCTCTCCTTACACTTTCCGAAATTTTAGCTCTACCTTCTCTCTAAAAAGGTAGATAGCTTTTCTTCCAAGCCAAGTTGAAGCTTTGCCAAAACTTCAAGAGTTGTCTCCAAGATTCTACATTTCATACATTTGGGCATCTAGGAGGGTAAGATCCATGTTCATCTTGTGTTTTTAGTGTTTCCTTAGGTGTCTTTTCTTAATGATAGAATCTTTATGATCTTTTGGTGTGTTCTTGAAGTGGGTTTGGAAGGTGAGCTTTGTTAGGAGCTTGGTGAAGTGTTAAGTGAAGGATTTTTTCTACAAGAGGTAACCCATGCTCTACAAAATCTATTTTGATTACGTATATGATGATTTCTTGGATTCTAAATGTGATTTTGCTATGAAATGTGAGTGTTTATGCATTGCCTTGTGAAAATGCATATCTAGATGTGTTTAGGGTTCTTGTATGCCATTGCTTGGCTATTCCTTTGATTCAAGTCATTTTGTTGTATTTGGTGAGATTTGGCATGTTTTGGACTTGAATTTGAGCTTGGAGTTGAAAATCCCCGAAGGGATTATTTTGGTACAGGGTGTGTACCCGCGGGCGGAACGGCGGGCGGGGCACCACCCGCCGCCCCACCCGCGGGGTACGTAGCCAGTGGGAAGTGGTTCCCGCGGGCGGAACCACGGGTGGGGGTCCACCCGTGGGTACGTGTTTTGATGATGATTGGGGATTTGTTCCCCGTGATTCTTTTGACTCGGTATTTGGTCTTTTGACTTCCCGATGTTCTTTTATGGAATTATTTGAGTGTCTTATTGATGTTTCGTATGTCTAGAACTATATGGTAGGAATCTATGTAGGTTTTGGTGTCTTGAATCGTGCTAAGTGTTCAACATTGTGTTTCGTTGAACCGTGATGAGTCTTGTGTATTCTTCAGAACTACGTTTGGTTTACCTGTTTGATAAGAATGCTAGTTCGGTGTTTAAATGCTAGCGTGTGTATTGTTTGTACCTTCATATTGTTGATGATAACTTGTGTTATTCATCGTTGTTGTTGTTGGACTGTGATCCATTCCTTGATTGAGTATGGTTTCATATCTTCGTTGTGATCCGTTGATTGATTCCTGTTGTGGTGTGATGTGTGTGTGGCTTTACCTGGATTCCACGATTAGTGGTATGAGACACTAGTCACCAAGGTATTGCAGTGGTCCTTGTGGTGGCCATGACGTAATTATGGAGTTGTGACCTGTGTGTCAGGTTCACATATTTCTTGGGAGGCGTGTGTCGACGTGTGTTTGATCGGTACCCTCGTGTACTATGAAATTGGTGGTCTTTTTGGTGGTTTGTTGGTGGGGGACGACGGTCCCAGGAGGGAAAAGGTTGGACTAAGAAGTACAAGGGTCCTGGAGGTAACGGTTGGAACTAGACATAAGGTTGGGGTAGCCATAAGGTTGGAACCGGGCATAAGGAAGGCATATCAACTCGTGGTGGGTGATGTCACGAGGGCTTGTGTAGTTGTTGTTGTGAGTTCTCTTCTTGTGACGTGTGTAGTCACAAAGGCATGTGTTGCCGTTTTGTGTGTCCTTATTCCTTTGAGTTATGCATGTCGGGTACTAATCTATTGTGTGATGATAGATTATGCCTTGAGACTTCTTGTGAGTCGTTGTTATTCGTTATAGTCTTGGGATGTGTTCCCGTGTTCTTGTTGAGAGTGTTTGAGTCTTGTGTTTATTATTACTCTCGGTTTTGAACTTATATATATGTATTCCGTTTCGAAAATGGCTTTACAAACTTATATCTTACTTATGTATGATATTTCACATGTATTGGTGGGTTACCAGCATTATTCGCTGACCGGGCGTCGTCCCATGTTTTATATGCTTCTTTCAGGTGATGCTTAGACGAGTGCGCGGTTTAGTGCCATCTAGAGTAGCTCCTCCCTTATGTTTTGTGGCCTGTGAGCTAATTTAGACTTAGTACTTTGTTATGTTGGTTTTTTGATGTTGAACAATGCAGATGTTAGCCTGTGCGTTCACCCTTGAGTGAGCGTGGCATAGCACCCTGTTTCTTCCAGTTTATATATTTCCTCTTTCAGTCTTCCGCTGTGTTTGATGTTTTGGTTTAGATATCTGCATGTTTAAGGCATTAAATAGCATGGAAATTAGGGGGTGTTACAGAGGGTCTTGGCTACCAGATCCCAGTCAGTGATTTCATCCTCATCCACTGGCTTCAACCCATAGTACCGATTGATCACATCAGGGCCAAATACATACCAATTACCCTGAATGAAGATTTGCATACACCTCTTGCTGGTCAGATCATCAATTTCTTCGTTTAGGTTGCAGTAGGACTCATATGTGAGGAGCTTTGAATAAGCACATACAGACGTCACAGTCTTCAGCAGGCCAACCTCACGCAGAAGGGGCAATACATCACACACTGAAGTCAGCTTATTCT